CATAAAATGGAATCAATTTTTGTCCACACACTGGCATCACCATGGAAGGCATGCATGCTAAGTTTCATTGCTTTCTAACATTATATGTATTTTCTATGGTTTCGCGTGAAAAATCCTTAAGATACTGCCCGCACATGAGACAACGTGCGTTTGGTGGCAGAAATCGTTCAAATTTTGCATGAAGGCCTTCCATGGGCATGCCCAGACGCTGGTAAAATTTGGTGTCATTTTATGCACGACAGAACCTACACCATGTTCGATCGAGATCGTTCGGGTCTTTCGGTAGTGTCTCGAACTAGTTTTTTTTAGATTAATTAAATTGAGCCAAAATTTCCGCAAACTGGCATCACCATGGAAGGCATGCATGCCGGGATTCGTTGCTTTCTAACAACATATGCATTTTCTAAGGTTTTCCGAGTGAAAACCCCTAAAATACTGCCTACACGTGACGCAACGTGTGTATGGTGTCCGAATCCTTTCAAATTTTGCAGGGAGGCCATCAATAGTCATGCCCACAGCTAGCAAAAATTGGTGTCATTTCGTGCCACTAGTACAAAAAAGGGCTTTGGTCCACCCCGGGTTAGCCCATTAGTCCCGGTTCAGTCTAGAACCGGGACTAATGGGGGCATTAGTCCTGGTTCGTGCGCCCAGGGGCCACGTGGGCCATTTGTCCCGGTTCGTCTGGACCTTTTAGTCCCGGTTGGTGCCACGAACCGGAACTAAAGGGTGCGATGACCATTAGTCCCGGTTCGTGGCACCAACCGGGACTAAAGGGTTAGACCTTTAGTCCCGGTTCGTGCCACCAACCGGTACTAATGGGGTTTGAGGCATTAGTACCGGTTCATGGCACGAACCGGGACTAAAGGTCCCATTTTCAAACTCCCACCCCTCCCGGATCACGTTTTCAGTTTTACAAAAAATAAAAGAAAAGGATGAAAATGTCAAAAAAATAATAAAAAATAAGTTTCCCATGTGATATGTGGTCTAGTTGTTGGGAAAATTTGCAAATGTGAATTTCGACTTTATTTGCAAAATCTCTCTAGAATTTAGTAAAATGAGCATAACTTTTGCATACTGACTCGGATGAAAAAGTTTTTTATATGAAAAATCATCTACTCGAAAAGTTACATCCAAATTTAACAGAGGGAATCCCGTTAAACATTTTCAAAATCCTCAAAAACCTAACAGAAAAAAAGTTACGGGGCTTTTAAGATCTAGAGTGGAAAAAATCGAAAAAATTTCAAGCTGTGGTCAAACAATGGTCAAACTAATTATTTTAGAATATTAGTGTTACTAAATAATTATTTCAGTTATTTTGAATTTTGGTCAAATTTGGTCAAATTGTGGTCAAACTATGGTCAAACAATGGTCAAAATAACTATTGTTTTTTAAATAATTATTGTTTTTTAAAACAATAGTTTCAAACTCAAACAGTGAAATGTATCACTTCATGCTCAAGCAGAATTCCCGAGGGTTAATAGGATTGACATCGTACTATTGTCAGGAAAACAACAAGTGCAGACTTGAAAACGAGGGAGAATAGAACCCGGAAGTTAAGCGTGCTCAGGTTGGGGGAGTGGGAGGATGGGTGACCGTTCGGGAAGTTAGATGATTAGGAATGATGAGGGGTGATTAGAGATTAGAGGATAAATTGAGCAGTGATGAGGGGTGGTGATTAGAGATTAGAGGTTAAAATAATTCAGAAATTTAAAAATAAAAAAAATTCAAAAAGAAATTCCAAAAGAAATTTTCAAAAAAAAAATCATAAAATTTCCTTTAGTCCCGGTTGGTGTTACCAACCGGGACTAAAGGTGGAGCTCCACGTGGCCGCGGCCTTTAGTCCCGGTTCTGGATTGAACCGGGACTAAAGGGTGGAGGCATTAGTACCGACCCTTTAGTCCCGGTTCATGAACCGGGACTAAAGGCCCTCACCAACCGGGACAATAGGCCTTTTTTCTACTAGTGTGCACGACAGGACCTACGTGATGGTCAACCGGGACTATACGGGTCTGTCGGTAGTGTAAGTCTCGAACTAGTTTTTTTTCACATTAACCAAATGGAACGAAAAAAAATCCACACACTGGCATCTCCATGGAAGGAATGCATGCCAAGTTTCAATGCTTTCTAACATTATATGTATTTTCTAGGGGTTTCCTAGTGAAAAATCCCTAAAATACTGCCCGCACTTACGCAGCGTGCATTCGATGTATGAAGTCGTTCAAATTTTGCATTGTGGACTACCTTGGGAATCCCCACATGCTGGAACAATTTGGTGTCATTTCATACATGGCAGCAAACCACCATGTACAACCTGAACCGTTAGGGTAGGCCGACAAGGCAAGTCTCGGCGCAGTTTCTTTTCACCTCCACCAAACGGCACTAATATTTTTCACACATTGGCATCAGCATGGTCAACATGCTGCCAAGCTTCGCTCGTGTATGACGTTTTATGCATTTTCTAGGGTTTTCTGGGTGAAAAAACTCTAAAACACAGGCCAGACGTGGCGCACGTGCGCTTGGTCTTCGAATTCGTTCAAATTTTCCATGGGGGACTGCCTTGTTTTTTTTCACATTAACCAAATGGAGCGAAATTTGGTTGCGTGCGGGAAAACCCTAGAAAATGCATATAAAGCTGGGTAGGCGAGAAGTCTCTCTTTGAGAGCACGCTATTTCTCGACATCCTTGAAATGACCCCAATTTTTTTGTATGACCAATTCAAGGCGTCATGTCAAGTTCTTTGTTTTCGACAAATTTTGCAAATTTTGAAGTTTTCTCGGTCAAAAAAGGTCGATAAATTGCTAGATGTGTCACAACTTGCATACGATGTCGAATTTCGTTCAAACCATGCATGGATGCCTACTATGGTCATGTCCACTTGCGTGCAAAGTTGGGTTCATTTGAAAATGTCCAAAAATAGACCATATGTATAACAGAGGGTGTTCGGGTAGGGCCAGAAGGGACCGTTTGAAAGCACATTGTTTTTTGACATCCATGAAATGGCCCCGTGATGCCGCCACAACCACCTGCCACCAATCCAGCTTTAGTACTGTACTGCTGCATCAACCTTGCCCAGTCTAGCTGTCGTCGACGCCACCACGACGTCGGACAACGCCACCATCCTGCGCTCGTACATACATCATCACACGCCCATCGGCGAGACCCCGCTGCTCCATGCCGCTGAGACCCGCCGTTGTCGACGTGTTAGATGCCACACCACTCCTCCTCTTGTCCCCTCCAGCCAACACTTGGTCCAAAACGATGCCCCCAGGAGGGAGAACGACATCGAAATGTCGTCATCATCCGATCAGGTAGACCCAGATCTAGGATTTCCCCTGGAACCTCCCGATCAGGTTGACGTGACCTGCAACGATGATGCCTCGAGAAGGAAACGACGTCAGAGACGCCGCCATCTCCGCCAAGACCGCAGTCAGGCGCGATTTTCATCGGAAGCCGTGTCGTCCTGATCTTGTGGCTGGCTAGAACCACGCGGAGTCTTGCCATGAAGACATATGCCGTCGCTGGTACTCCGACAGAGATCCTCTATACCCTCACCGGTCCCTCCACGCACCGCCGGCCGGCCAAGACCACGCCGCGGCGGATCTAGACGGGACGCCAGATCCGCGGCCGCCGCGACCCATCTTCAGGCAGAGCCATCCACCGATTTATCCATGGAGTGCTGCCACCATCCATACACGAAGGGAAGCCCATCGCCGTCCTGGACCGCTGGCCGCCGCCGCACAGGCTAGGGGCGCTGCCCTGCCTGCTGCCCACGGGCGCACCACAAGAGACGCCCCTGCCGCCTCAAGGGGATCCCGCTGCAGATCCGCCCGCCCTAGCGCCTTGGCACCTGGCCCGCCGCCACCGCGGACCTCGCCGGCGGCAGCGGCGGCAGGAGGATGGTCGAGGGAGGCTGGCGGCGCTGGTTTTTTGGCCCCCTGGCGTCGCCCAGGGAGGTGACGCGACGGGGTACAAGGCGTCGCCAAGGATACATGGATTTCTCAAAAATACTCTTCAGCCGATCTGCATCGCTCTAATCCAGTAACAGCCAGGGCTTGCAGGTATGTGATGTTGGTGGTCTCGACTTGAGCAAAGAACCACCATGGCTTGCAGGCAGAGCAGAGTAATCCAGTTTCAGGTTGGAGCCATTGCATTGCTTGCCCCCCTTCATTCATTATAGGAGACATCAAACCAAGTGTCAGCTTCACAGCCGACACAGACCAAGTAAGAAATTTCAGAATCTTACTCTGAGCCGTACTGAAGAATGATGCTCCGTCGCCAATGCCAAGCGCGAGGTGTAAATCAGCTTGTATTCACACGATTTGTAGTCTCATTGACATCCGAAAGGAGCAGTCGGTTACGCCGGCAGCTTCCACTGTTTGTTGATAGTCAAGGCCAGTAGAAGTGAACATCGATCGTCGTTTAGGATACTGAAATGTGTTTCCAGAGGAGAACATCTGGAGACTGACCCTGTTACTGAAATGTGATGTGCCTAAACCAGAGAGTTCGGCAATGGAACAAACTATTGACTGTGATGTATGGACTTCGAAATGCTATTCAACTCATATGCATCACTCTCCTTCTGTACACGAGCTGACTTTTTCCAGTGAACGGTAAATATTCTGACAAAATAACTACAAGGATGAATGTGACAAGGGCGAGGCTGGTAAGCCGCCGATGCAAAGAACCTGGCACTTTGGCAATGATAAAGCAAGAAAGTTCACAATCTTAGGCCGAACCGTACTGAAAAATGACTGTTGACAGACAAGGCCGGGCAACCATAAGTACAGAAATTAGGGTATTGTCCAAAGTTGGCCGTGGCAACAAGTAAATACTGAAGACTTATCATACAAAGTTGTGCTAGACAGGGGAATCAAGTACATTCTACTGACCATAACAAAAATGCTAGTCTATGCCTTGTTAGCCTAGCCTGCATGCATCACTGGACGGATACAGACCAGCTGCCAATAAGATGTCAATAATTCACAGTGGCCATGTTGAACTCACGGCGTATTGGCGCCGATCAGCCTCTTTGCAGTGGTGACAATGGCGCGCAGAGCTCTGGCCTCCTCTGAAACCTCCCCCGTGTAACGTTCCACCTTGGACAGGGCTTCCATCATCTTGTGCTCCTTGAAGATGGGTGCGTAGTAAGGGCAGAATTCCACAATGGATACTGTGAGCTCAATCAGCAGGCTTCTCATTTCTGGAAATTCATCAGGACTTGGTTTCATGCGAGCATTGAGTTCACCCACAAGTTTTTTAACAAATGCCCCATCATCTGCAAACGTGTCCAAAACAGGGGCAATGCGTTCTGACATGACACTGCAGATTTGTGAAGCTAGGCCGATTAGGGCCTCCACCTGCTTGCCATCTGCATCCTTTATTCTTCCCAAGACCTGCAAATATGGTGCACTAAAAATGTTAGGTAATGTAGGATTTACTTCAGGGTTAGTTATTAATTCCACGGCAATGAAGCATTTTAATTAGTGTATAAAAAAACATGTGTTTGTATAGGTTGCTAGTAATTCCAAATTCAAGTGATCTGCACATCAATTGGCCACAAGGTGTAGGCCAAAATCAAAAAGCAAAAAAATGCAAATAGCAGTTTGATTAACTAGCAGTCCACCGTACTGCTCTTTTTCTGATAATCAAAGTGAACGCTGGCTATCATATTGGTATCAGTTTCATTTTAATTGGACATTTCAATGCAACTGAAGGAAGAATTTATTTGTAAGAAAATGGCAAACATACAAAACTCTGAATGATAGCACATGCACAAAAGTATTTCGAAATCAAAAGGAAAAACATGTGGTCTAACATAAAAGCAACTCAAAATTACTAGAAATCCAGATGACTCATCACTATGAAGACAAAACACCTGGAGTAGCATAAACAAAACTCAAAAGTACAAGTAGCAAATTCAGAGGACTCACTACTGTTAATGTAGATGGCAGGTGATTGTTTGAACCTTCATGTCTCAGCACTAATTGCCTTGAGTTTTTGCAGAGACTCCGGAGTAGACTTGCTGCTGGGCACATGTGAGTACCACCCTGAAGCTTGTTGGCGAGATCCCCGATAAGCTCAAAATCTGTTTTGTCCAATATAGCAGAGCAGTTGTCAGGGCTATCAATTGCCAACATCGCAAGTGCTTCCCCTGCCTCTGCTTGCAGTGGATTTGATGACTCCTCTTCCCCAATAAACTGCTGCACCAACTTGTCAATGATAACTTGTACCGTCCCAATCTCCTGCCTAGTTTTTGTATCTGTGGTGATCTTGGTGATGATATCTATAACCAGCTTTGATTGTACTAGGTAGCTCGAGTTGCCCTCATTCTCCAAGATCTCGGCGAGGTCACCAATTAGGAATGAATTCTCAGAAATCTTTTGCCGCAGTTTTATGCCGACTTCCCCCTTGACGCTTGCAAGCTTTTCAACTAATTTCAATGATGAAGTGACGATCTCTTCCCGCTGCGATGTTGTTGTGCCAGGAATGCAGCTTATGAATCCTATGATCTTTGGGATGAGCTCTGTTTCCCTACTGATTTCTTCACAATTGTGGAGATCGTGAGAAAGCCCTTCAAGGATTTGCATGCCCAGTGCAGGGAGCGAGTGGTTATCCTTCAAACCCTTCTGTGGAATTGCCTGCATTTTCTTAAGGTGCTGCCAAAATCTGTGTATCCACCCTATCAGAAAAAGAAAGAATGTGTGTACCAGAGAGCAACCTCGCACTGCTGATGCATGACCTCCTTCAGTGTCCAAAGTTGAATTCCTTGATGGAGAACTTGAACCATTGCTTATTTGAAGAGCATCTCCATTACCTCCATTGCCATCCACAATCAGGATTGAAATTTGATGTGTCATTGGTTGATCTTGGGCGTCAAGAAGTGAAGACACCATCTGCATGGTTCCAGCAGTCCCGGCGATCCGTAGATATGGAGCAAGATGAGCTGTGACCTTTGCAGCGAATAGCCTGATATCTGCGTCTTCGGTGACTGTCCAACCCAACATGCTAATCAAGGCTGTCACTGCCTTGGTAGATGTTGTGATTAGAGAGATGAGCTCTGTCCCGGAACAACAGGTCTTGTTTTGCTGTTGCACAAAGGAGTGCAGGATACGAACAGCAGCGCGCTTCTTGTCTCGTGAGGCGTCTGGGTTTAGGCAAACCACAGCAAAAGTGACAAGGCTCATCTTCTTTGTAGTGTCGAAGAGACTTTCTTGCAAGAAGGTGTCGTAGGCTTGTTCATAGTAGAGATCAATTGAGTCCATCCCCATCTCATCTACGAGTGCACATGCAAGGGCTAGTGATCTCCGAAACAAGAAGGATAATGACTCTAGTAAGCACGCCGTCAAATATAGTATCCCTTGGCTCAACACCATTATGTACAAGGCCATAACCGCTAGCCTGACATTTTCGTTTTTGGTGTCATGAATTTGAATCTCATTCCAGAAAAGCCACGCCCATGACACTATGATTCGTGCGAGAGCCATTGGAGTTTGCAGGTTGCCGAACACCGATGGACTTAACAGCACCAACCAGCCGACAGACTCAAACCAGGTGTTAATCATATAAATTGCTGCAACAAGCAATATGGCACGTGATAGTCGTGCTAGTAATTTAACTCTTTTGTGAAAAGGGCAATTATTTTCTGGCAAACCAAACCTTGCTAAAATGTAGATGCCAAACCATACAGGGATAAGCGAGTAATCGGCCCAGTTATACATCCTACGTATTTTTCTATAGTAGGTTGAAAGCCCAACTATAATGGGAATAACCGGTGGAGAAAGTTGCAACAGCATGTGGCTCTCCTTCCCGCTAATGTATTCAAGAACTGTGTAAAAACCCATCTTGTGTACTATCACCAGTAACAACAAAAAACAAAGGAGGTCAGTCGCCGGGTAAAAGGTAGGTAGGAAGCAGCTCAGCATCAGTTCGAAAAGACAACCCGTCATCATTATTGCATTCATATAATACAGAGATCCACGGCCTAGCTCGATCCTTTTGAGGTCAATGCCTCCTGTAGTCTTGAATAATAATTGGTCATCTGATCTGCTTTGTCTGCTAAACGCCCTGCATGTATCCCAATAACATACCAGAGATGAGTGGCAAACCATATACATAAATGGAAAATATAAGAACTAGAACATGTTAGGCATGTTGAGGCTTTGGACAGAATGGGGCTGCCTGGTAGGGTTCATAGAGAAAAAATACTCTCAAAATATGAAGACAAACAATCTTAGCTAGAAAAAGCAAAGGGTTAATTAATTGGGATCATATATACCCCATACGAGGGTCGGATCAATACAAAAACACAATATTAGCCATCATATATTTTCTACATGATATCAGAGCGGTTTGTCCAACGACGCCGATCCTAAAACCTTTCACCACCTATGCAGCGTGCTGCCTCCGAGGAGATTAATTTTCTCTCCCCGGGGGCATGGCACCCGATCAATCAAAGATCAAATGGGTTCCATAGATTAGATCAGTTCTTTAGATTAGATCAATTTCCAAATCACATCCTTTAAGGTCAATTTCTTTTTAGCTACAAATAAATCCCGACCATCCTGATATCTTGGTGAAAATCAGGTGCAATCAGGAGGTAGGCCGCCGGCCGTGCTAAACCGGGGCGAGCTTCAGCGACATGTACCTCTACGCCACCACGTCATGCGTCGTCCGGCTGAACAAGTCGGCAAACAGGAGACGGTACTCCGAGGCGTCTTCCTCGGATCCTTCAGATCCAATCTGATCCTAATCCACGACGCAGGCGGCGCGTGCATGCGGCGGGCAATGCTCCCTCAACGTCCGACTCGACGATTCTTAAAAAAACCGGCCGACTCGACATCAAGCTCGACAAGCTGCGCGCATGGCCGGAACAATGCAGCCACGGACACCTCTCCCTCAACGAGCGCGTGTGCATGGCTGCATGCTGATGGAATCAATTGCAATACATGCATGTGGTGGGTCCATAGGCATGCTTCGATCGAGCTGCAACCAGATAGGATCTGCAGTTTTATCGAGATCCGGCTCCACGCATGTCTAGCTTCATCGACCCGCGTGATCTCGAGCATCGGCATCTCACATACGGCCCGTCAAGCAGCAGCCGCTCTTGCGGGAGATCTTCTTCAACGCTAACCGGCCGGTGTAGGTATCTGTCTCCGATACGTGCATGCGTGATTCATATATATATATATAGGTAAATTATCTCGGGCACCTAGGTGCCCAGTCACCTAGTTTGGACCCGAACCGCTAATGCATTTTCTGTTAATAAATATAAATAATCAGTAGTACCTTTCATATAATTTTCTTTCCATTTTCTATTCTCATGCATTAATAAGCTTCACGGCATTGATTGTGAAATGGTTTCCAAAAAGTGAATGGTATTGATTCTCTCGTAAAAGATTTCTTTTCTTAAACAATTCTACTATAATCATGTTAAAATAGTCTAAATACTCGTACACATGTACTTGGGTAGCTACATACCCTATGATTATTCTAGGTTTTAGATACCTTCAAACGTTTTCGATATATTTGTAAGTCCATACTCAAGTTTTCGCAAAATACGGTGCAACTCATGGTGTTTCTCTGTATGTACATACCTCGAATGGAATATACCCTATGATTTATTCTAGATTTTAGATACCTACACACGTAGTCCGATATACTTCGCAAAAAAAAATCAGTGCATACTCAAAGTATTTCTTTGTATGTATCTACCTTGATGTAAAAAATATATTGGTATATACCAATAAATATAAGTGGATACATGTACGTAAACCAACTACCTTGACAAATAATTTTTCTACGTTCTATGAGCATCTATACAAGATACCCGATAGAGATGTAGCAGAGGTGTGATACTCGACGAATCATATTATAATATTGTGGCTACATACCCAAAAAAATATCTCTTATCCTCAAAGAATTTGTGGGTATATGCCCTAAACACAGCTAGGTATGGTACAAAGAGAAATAATTTTAGTTACGTAGACACCACTACGCATACCTGTATCTTTTTAAAAGGGCACGTTATCAATACTTGTGTAGTGTGTACAACAAAAATTAGGCAGCTTTTAATCATTTCCTTTTATGCATTAATTAGTACAAGTTTTTCACACGCACATGCAAAGCTATAATTAGGTAGATTCTCGTTTTCTGGGGAATGTTTTATAGTGCATGCATTCTAATTAAGGCTGGTTACAGTGGAGAGGAACTTAGGAGTAACATCACACACTTCAATACAACTTTACTTATGTGGCACGTATTTAATGAAGAGAGAGGTGCTTGTGGTAACTAGCTAAGTTACCGGAACATCACACACTCCAAGAAACAATGAGTCTATAACCTAATAAATACATCGTTGCATGACACTACATAGATGTTCCTACCCACTATGGAGGTAGTAACATAGTCTAGGGAAGTGTGAAGTTACTAGCTTATGTTCTTGCCCATTGTGACCAGCCTAATGCCTCCATCCAAATGAGAGTAAGTAGTAGTCGCTGATTCACACATAGTTATAGGAAATTAATTAGTACACCGCAATAACTTTCCAATTAAGTATTGGAAACGGTTATACCCGTTAATGTCTATACCTACCACGTCGGCACACATCCTAAAGCAATCCGAAGGTTGACAGGCAAGGAGCTTGGGCACCTAGGTGTCCCAAACTGTCGTCCTATATATATACATGCGTGGCTTCCAGCCAATACATGCAAGATACCGCGTCACGACGACGGCATCAACCGCATCATTCACGACGTCACGACTGCATCGACACGATGCCATTGACGACCCTACATGGCCACATGGTTCTGGCAAAACCTATGTATGCTCCATGGGTTTCCTCCAGTCATGGCAAAATCGGTGGACTCATCGCCGGCGACACCCCTCTGACATTCGCAAGGTGCATTGTCTGAAGGAAATATGCCCTAGAGGAAATAATAAATTTATTATTTATTTTCTTATTTCATGATAAATGTTTATTATTCATGCTAGAATTGTATTAACCGGAAACTTAGTACATGTGTGAATACATAGACAAAACAAAGTGTCCCTAGTATGCCTCTACTAGACTAGCTCGTTAATCAAAGATGGTTATGTTTCCTGACCACATACATGTGTTGTCATTTGATGAACGGGATCACATCATTAGAAGAATGATGTGTGATGGACATGACCCATCTGTTAGCTTAGCATTATGATCGTTACAGTTTCATTGCTACTGCTTTCTTCATAACTTATACATGTTCCTCAGACTATGAGATTATGCAAATACCGGAGGAACATTTTGTGTGCTACCAAATGTCACAACGTAAATGGGTGATTATAAAGGTGCTCTACAGGTGTCTTCGAATGTGTTTGTTGGGTTGGCATAGATCAAGATTAGGATTTTTCACTCCGTGTTTCGGAGAGGTATCTCTGGGCCCTCTCGATAATGCTCATCACTATAAGCCTTGCAAGCATTGTGACTAATGAGTTAGTTACGGGATGAAGTATTACGAAATGAGTAAAGAGACTTGCCAGTAACGAGATTGAACTAGGTATTGAGATACCGACGATCAAATCTCGGGCAAGTAACATACCGATGACAAAGGGAACAACGTATGTTGTTATGCGGTTTGACCGATAAAGATCTTCGTAGAATATGTAGGAGCCAATATGAGCATCCAGGTTCCGCTATTGGTTATTGACCGGAGATGTGTCTCGGTCATGTCTACATAGTTCTTGAACCCGTAGGGTCCGCACGCTTAACGTTCGATGACTATTGGTATTACGAGTTTATGTGATTTGATGTACCGAAGGTTGTTCGGAGTCCTGGATGTGATCACGGACGTGACGAGGAGTCCCGAAATGGCCAACACATAAAGATTGATATATTGGACGGCTATGTTCGGACACCGGAAGTGTTCCGGAGAAGTTTCGGATAAAATCGGAGTACCGGGGGGTTACCGGAATCCCCCGGGGGTTATTGGGCCTCATGGGCCAAGTGGTGGAAGAGAGGAGGCATGCCAAGGTGTGGCGCACCCCCCCCCCTAGCCCAAACCGAATTGGACTAGGCGGGCCGACCCCCCTTTCCTTCTCTCCTCCCCCTCCTTCCCCCTTCTCCTTGTTGGAATAGGAAAGGAGGGGGGTGAATCCTACTTGGAGTAGGATTGCCCCCCCCCCCATGGTGCGGCTCCTCCCCTGGCCGGCCTCCTCCTCCCTCCCTCCTTTATATACGGGGGAGGGGGCACCCCATAGACACACAAGTTGATCTTTAGCCGTGTGCGGTGCCCCCCTCCATAGTTTTTCACCTCGGTCATATTGTCGTAGTGCTTAGGCGAAGCCCTGCGCCGCTAAATTAATCATCACCGTCTCTACGCCCTTGTGCTGACATAACTTTCCCTCGGCCTCAGCTGGATCTAGAATTCGAGGGATGTCACCGAGCTGAACGTGTGCAGATCGCGGATGCGCCATGCGTTCGGTACTTGATCGGTTGGATCTTGAAGACGTTCAACTACATCAATCGCGTTACATAACGCTTCCACTTTCAGTCTATGAGGGTACGTGGACACACTCTCCCCTCTCGTTGCTATGCATCTCCTAGATAGATATTGCGTGATCGTAGGAATATTTTTAAAATTACCGCGTTCCCCAACATTGTCCACGTCTATAGCTCTGTCATAGCACATTTTTTGCGCCTCCGGTTTTGTGCGGCTTTATCATCCACAACGACTATACCATCGACCACGGCTACATCACCATGATCGGCTACCTCGACATCAAAATTAATGGCTTGGTCTACAGCAACACATCAGCAACAACTCCATTCAACAGTGTCCGCGTCATCACCAGCGTCCACGCCACTCCTGCTGTGACTGTGGGAGGGAATAGAGGAGAGTCAAGGGAGGCATCATAAGGGGACGCAGTCACCGCCCTAGGTGCCAACCCATAAGAGACGCAGTTGATGATGGCGCAGCGGAGAAGACGACGGAAGAGTAAGACTTCAAATCCAGTCGTACTCGTCCGCTTCACTCCCGCTACGACTGAGGGGGAATGTTAGAATATAAAAGTGTTTAGTTAGAGATAAG